CTCCACTCCAGGTTTTTTATAGACTTGAACTTAAAGGCTGCCTTGGCCTTATTCCACCAACATGTCTGGTTAGACAAGGTAGAAGTTCTAAAAGTTGGGCCATCATTTAAACAACCAAGAGATTTTGTTTGGGTTCAGCTTTCCTCCCAACAGTGGGAGAATTGCCCACCTTGGGCTTGCATTCCAGCCAGGCAATGACAAGCTGGAATACACAGCACTTGTCCCTCTAGAACTGTCCTTTTGGCCATAGACCCCACTATTCCCCACAGTTTCTCCATCCAGTGTGCTTTCCTTCTCATAATCTACTGAAATGCGTGTGCATTCTAAGGAGCCTCCAATCCTCCTAAGGAGCATGTGGGACACTCTCTGCAAGACTGAGCTCATTCTGGCACTCAGTTGCAAGGTTGTATTGTGGGGCTTTTCAATTTCCTTCTCTTATTTTATTATCGTTTTCCAAGGAAGGTCTTAGAAGATAAATAGTGATATATACATATGTATGTATGTGTATATACATATGAATGAATAAATGAACAAATAAGTAATATACATTCCTGCATGCTTATCCTCTATACCAGCTCTTCTTTCCACAATTTTTTTACTTTTACTATTAAAAAGTTATCCTAAAATGAATATGAGCATTCCTAAAGTCAATCAATCACAATGCTTCTGTTTCACAATTCTATTGAGTTGAAATGGAAACAGGAATGCCATAGTGAATGCGGAACAGACCATTATGTCTGGCAGTGAGATCAACTGGAACTCAGGGTATGGAGAACGCAACAGATTAGATCCCCGAGTGCTATCCGTGATCTCTGAGGGAACTGTGGAGGACAGGAGGGGTGCCAAGAAGCTGGAGACAGGCAAATGTTCTGATTTTCAAAACGGGAACGGAATGACAGCCTGCCAGTTTCCCGATGCAGAATGTAATTTCACTCCCAGGCAAGGTTTGCAAGCAGATTGTAAAGGGACACTGAGAAGCACCTAAGATAGGAAGTAATGTCTGTTTGTAGCTGGTGTGGGGGAACCAAGAACAGATCAGGGCAAATTCATTGTGTTTCTAACAAGACCACTAGACTAGGAGAGCAGACAAGTACAACAGACATGCATGGTGTAAGTAGTGAACAGTGCAAAGCGCTAATGGTACACCTGGGATACATTGGTAGAAGTTATTTCTGGGAGCATTAAAGGAGAGACACCTGGAATATATTAGTAGAGGTATTACAGGCAGCATTAAAGGAGGGGACGATTGTTGTCTTTCTTCTACCATATTGACAAAGTATTCGTAGTTAAATCTTCAGGTGTCTTTTAGGGAAAACTTCTTTGAAAACATGAAGCTTTCCTGCAGGTTACTGACGTCTATTGCAAGTAAAATTGAGAGATGTGTGTGGGCTTAAAAGTGGCAACAAAAGCCAGGCAGTGGTGCATGCCTTAAATTGAAGCACTCAGAAGGCAGAGATAGGAGGATCTCTGTGAGTTTGAGGGTAGCCTGATCTACAGATCTAGTTCCAGGATAGGAACCCTGTCTCGAAAAACGAAACAGAAAAACAAAACAAAACAAAACAAAACAAAAAAAAAACAGTGGCAACAAATGATTACACTTAAGTATAACTGTGCATTTGGGCAGAATGTGTGCCCTCAGATCTATCATAATTGTCACCACCCCTTCTAATGTTGTCAGTAAGGTGTGCCATCTGCCACAAATCATCTTCATTCCACCCTCCAAGCACTCCACACATTGGGATTTGCAGCCCAGGAAGCAGTAGACCTAAGGACTGCAAAGGACTGGGGGTATGGCTCTGTTGGTAGAACGCAGGAAGACCTAGGTTCAATCACCAACATAGCTTATATGAATCCAACATGGTGATGCATGCCTGTAACCTCAGCACTTAGGAGGCAGGAGTATCAGGAGTTCAAAGTCATCCATGGCTACATAGTGCAAGGCTATCCTGGGGTACATGAGAAACTCCCCATAACCCCCAAATAGACAAGTGAAGTAATGAAGACAGTAAATGGTAGTGGGCCTTGTTACCAAAGTAAATAAGGTTAACTACAGTCAGGGCCACACCCAGAGGCTCCCAACACCCAAATGTATGGGCAGTCCCAGAAAAGTGTCTACCCTGTTCTAAGAAGTCCCCAAGAAGAAGAAATTATAGAACCAATGGGTGGGTAATGCCATCTAAGAAAAAATTCTATGAGCCACAGCTGGTGGATGCTGTTTTTCATCCCTGGAATACACAAGCACAAGTATATAGTCAAAAAGATTGACTCAGGTATCTGGGGAGGCAAGAGAAGGCTTGAATCTAACAATATTTACAATGGAAATGCTATATGGAAGTATGCATCCTTTGTTAAGTCAGTAAATGCCTTAATCAGAGACAAAAAGGAGAAAGCCAACAGAGAACTCAACATTGTTTTGAAAAATCCTAAGTTGCCCTCACAAAAGTCTATGAGACCTGTTTAATGAAGTAGGCTGGTTTCAACCAACCTGGCCAAATGCCAGGAAGAAAGTAACTGGCACAAAGCTTTATTTTTCTCAGTTGGTCAAACATCCCTCACAGACAAGCCACAAAGGCAGAGGGAAGAAAATAAGAGGAAACAATGGGACGCCATCAAGAGGCTGCCAGTCCCCAGCACAACGCTGCCATCTGCTACTGACACCAATCCTTCAAGGGACTGTGTCAGCCAAACAATGTACCAGGGACACCAAGCCTGGGAAGATAATGGCCTTGCGACCTTGGGTAAGTCACTGAACACTGCCAGGGCTCAGCTCCTTATCTCTGAACTGGGTTAATACTAACCCTTTTGCATACTGTGCAGGCCAAGCATGGTAATGACTGGGACTGCCCCAAAGGCTGGAGGTCCCTGGGTATATCAATCCTCACCACAGTAATTAACAAACAAGGCTGTGAATGGAACCCAAGGCTTGGAACATGCTAGGCCACTGCTCTACCACTGAGCTACACACCAGGCCAACAAATAAAATGTTGAAAGAAAAGATTTCAAAGGGCTTCAGGTGTAGCAATCCTATGATCTAAGTCTTAAAGATGGGATACAGCTATAGAGGGAAAACAAATATTTAACCAAATTTAAATCAAAGAGACCAGAGCTTTTGGACCAGTTTCCTGAAGGAATTCATTATCATGGCCTGGTATTTGCTGGTTAGTCATTAAAATAAAGGTGAAAGGTGAATAGGAAATGAATTAGCTGGAGCACCTGATGCTCTGTGGGTCGTCAGGAGGGGCTGACTGGCTTGGTGGTAGCAACCCTTTAAAGAGAAGATAAGTAGATTTCCTACCAAGACAACTGTCCAAACATCCCCTTCTCCCGTCTGTCATAATGTTTTTATGGGTCTCTCAGTTGAAAAAAAAAAAAAAGTAGTCAATATAGTCTCAAAAAATACATAAACTCCTTAAAAAGTAGATAAACAAAATGGAAAAATCAGCTTTTGTTCTGAGTAGTTGTGTGAATCCCAATCTCTGGCAGCGTAAGGACTTGTTTCTAAATTGTCAGCAAGACTGATACATCTCAGACACTGCTTCTAACACTGAGCTAAAAACTAAGGAGGAGGTCAAGGAAGTGGAGAGATTTCTCTTCCTTTCACCCTGGGACCCACCCAGGGGCCATCAGCATGAGCCCTGGCCCAAAACTAAAAGACAAGGAAAACACAAAACCCCCCACCCTCACTGCATGCCTGCTCCCTCACAAAGCTTCCCCTCAATAACTGAAGGTTGAACAAGGCAGGGATGAGCCAGCAGGCTGCCTGAGGCCACTGACTTCCTGGGGCGTGGAGCCCTCAGGCAGCACTAGTAATAGGCGTGGCATCCTCAGGTCACTAGAACCTCAAAGCAGCTCACATCTACACAGCCTCAAAGCCAAGCCTCCACACCCACTGAAGATGTGTTTTGCCCACTCCATATGAAACCACAACACACCCTATGTCGCAGCAAGGAGAACCAAGGACCAGGAAAAAAAAAAAAAAAAATGGGTGCTTAGAGCCACAGCTGGGACCTCTCTCAGGGCACAGGCTCTGCAAAGGGGAAGCAGGGCAAGGTGCTTTCAGATCTCCCTGTGAAGCTGTGCTTAGAAAGCCCACCATCTGGCCTGAGGGCGGATGCTGCTTGCCTGCATTTAGCTGTACAACCGCAGCCCTTCTCTTCCTCAGCTAGCATGGATTTAGGGAGCGGCTTCTGCAGAAGTGTGGGTTCTATGCCACCAAAGCTGGAACCAGCACCCAAAGGTCATCTCGCTCTCCCAGCAGGCAGACTTTCTCCAGAACCAGGGGAGTCAGATAGCACCTACCAGTCCAGGTATTGGCTTTGAACCAAAGCCGATGACCCTAAACAACTGTATACAGAAGGACCAGCAGTAATACATTTTGTGCACAGAACTCTCTCTTTATGCCTAAATGCCTGCATTAGTCTGGATCAATATGTCCCATAACAGTTAATCCATGGCAACTCAGACCAGGCAAGAGATGCCACTTGACAAAGGAGGGCTGTTTAAAGATGCTGTGCCCCCCACAGCCCATACTCATGCATTTGAATTTCAGTCCAGGGAAGGCAGCAGAGGCAGAAACAACCACCCACAAGAGCCAAAAGAAGGGGTGGGGAAAGCAGATCAGAAAATATATACATAAATAGCAAAGGGCTTTCACAGTGGCAGTGAAGGGGAGGCGGCCTTGACTGTCAAAATGGCCTTAGAGTGACATATCGCTGCCATGATGATAGAGTGCCAGTGACACTCCTAAAGTCAGGCGTAGGATCTTCCTCACACACCTGCAATGCAGAGATTTCTGCCCTTTCTGTAATTCACGCTCCCAGCCCAGGCGCTATCTGCAGTGGGAGCCAGTCTGGACTTGTGCAGCTGCCGCTGTTCCTCCTTACAATAAGATCATTGCTGCAGAGCAACTTCTCACCAAGGCAAAGAGGCAAAGGAGGAGACAGCAGAGGGAGAGACAAGGGAAGGGAGAGAAGGCGAAGTCCCTCAGCCCCGCAGCTCACCTTTTATTTGGGCTTCATATTCGGCAATGATCTCTTTGTCTTTCTTGAACTTAGTTTGAGATGACATCTTCTGACGTGGCAAAAAGAACTGACAGGCTGTTTGATTTATTTCTCCTTTTCTTTCCAAGTCCTCTCCCAAGCTTGGGTAATCACACAGCGACAGTCGATTTCGCAGGTTTCAAGGCTAATCTCTTTCACTTGGCTGCAGAGCTGGGTAGAAATCCTTCTTCAGGGAGGAAAATGCTCTCTGCTGGCAGGGAAATGGCTCTGGTGGCTTCCTCTGGTCAGCTCCTCTTGCAAAAGGAGAAATCACCCTGGGAGTACCATAACCTGCCCCAGTTTTCCAGGATTTTTCTTCCAAAATAATAATAATAATAGCAGCCAAGAGCTCGAGCACACACACAAACACACTCACGAGTGCACACTCACCCAGACAAGCTTCCACGCAATTGTGCTGTGCACACACCCATTCACACCACAAGCGCGCACATACACACACGCATGCACACACACACTCCCTCACACACCCTCACTCACTCTCTCACACACACACACACCCGCTTGCTCACTCATACACACACATCCACAAGAGGCGCGGCGCCTCCTGGGTCGTGTGGCAAGCCTCCGGTTCTCTTTGGAAGGCTCTGCTAAGGAGATGGTCAGGTTGCCAAAGGACCGGTCATCTCTCATCCTCCCTCCGGTCGGTCGGCGCCTGGAGTCTGCTGTCCGGTAACGATCAAAGCCAGGAGAGGGAGATGGAAGTTTTCTGGCTGTAGCGTCTTAGCTCCTCCGGACCCAGGGATGGACTGTTCACCCGGCAGGGCTGGTGGAGCTCTCCCCCACTGCCCTCGTCACTAGACTCCGCCTCCCGGATTTTATAACAACTGACACATTGTAGCCTACAGGAGAGCTGAACTGGCTGAAGGAAAAAGGGGAAGAAACGTTTCACAAAAGGAAGGCAGCAGGAGGGGAGAAAAACAGGTTGGGAAGGCCTGGGAGGCTCCCGCAAACTCCAGCTTGTAGTAGTTGGGCTAGAGATTTTTCTAACAAGCACTGGAAGATTCTCTTTCATTGCGTGGTGAAAAACAATTCATGCCCTTAAACCTTCAAGCCCTTAAACCTTCAGTTATATGACAAGTTGTCACTCTGCCTGAGACTCTAGCAGAGGGCCTGATACATGCAGGGAAGGACACTAATATTTTTGGAGGAATTATTTGATGAGAGGGACAATGCCAGCTTTGTTGGGGGGAGGAGGGTAGGCAGACTGCAACCAGGTTCAGAGAGGGTCTGGCAGTACAATTCCACCTCCCTGTGTCTCTGTTGCTTTACCAGTAAAATGGGCTCTCCTTGGAGGCTCTTTTATGCACACTTTCAACAGATATATACCAAAAACCTACTCAGGGGCCCACTAAAATTACACAAGGCAAGAGGCTCCGTACAATGGCAAAGACAAGAATTGAACTACATAAGTGAATAATAGAAAGTGGTAGAAAATGACAAGTGCTGAGGAGGATAAAAAAAAAAAAAAGTATTGCAGAGTACTGAGACTTTGGGAGAATTGAGTAAGAACAGAAACTTAGCTTGGCCCACCCAATAACTGGACACATAGAAAGCTCCCTATAAATAGTGGCAATTATGGTTAACCCAGCATCCTAGGGGGTACATTCTGTATAAGTAACAAAGTATTTTCTCACAGGTAAAAGAGTGCAGATCTAGATGGCGGGGAAATTACTTAATCAGGATCCCCAGAGTTCCAACCCAGACAACAGAATCCACCAGTACTAAATGCTCTGTAGGAGTCTTCAGCATTTCAAAATGCCCAGTGATGCTTCAACATTTAGGATCACTCACCACAGGAATTCCACAGTGAGGCTGTCATAAGAGTGTCTTGACCCAAAGAGTTCCCTGAAGGAAATGTCTATCACTTTCTCAAAATAAGCATCATCTTCCACTTGTCTTTCTAGACTGATCCAGTGTGTGAGTTCGCTAGGGCTTAGAAATGAACAGGTTATCTACACTAGCCTCTAAGAGCTCCCCAAGAGAGAGGTGGGCGAAGTGAGACAGGGTCTTCCTACTGAGTGAGCAGTGAGTGAGCGCCCAGAACTGCCAAAGGGAATGTGGGAGCTGCCTGCAGAAGTCCACCTGGTGACTCATCAGGCTCATTATAGCTCTGGACCCAGAGACAAGAGGTCACAGAGTTCATAAACAGATGCCACAGCCCACATCCTCCTGCCTCACCCTTCCCAGGGACATGCTAGGGCGCTCGTAGTGTCATTAGAGGAAGATACACTCAGAGATTAGCCTCTCTGCCTCAAGCCTAGATTCTCAAAGAAAAATGGAGATAGTGTCCTATGCCCTGGAATGTGAATAACCAAATTCTTTCCTGTCTCTTCTATGAGACTGGAGCCTATAAGGCTGGATATGGTGACTCCGACTGCTCTTTGCCCCTACTGGGGGCAGGAACCCAGTAAATGATAGTTCTAACCATGATGAGAATTTTAAAACCACACATGCATATCAGAGACTCACACAATGGCACTGAACCAAGGAAATGTCCCAAGATGCCATATGACAATGAAGTAAAATGTTCCAGAAAACCCTGTTGAACACCAAGGGCTGAGTTTTTGTGTAAGAAGGATGGTGATATATAATCAGTCTGTGTGGACGCTGTAAATGGCCTCCATGCCTTCTCAGAACTTCATCTATCAAATGACACTCCCATGGGGACTCCACCAAGGGGGCCAAGCATCAGAGCTGGGAGCTTCACAGAGAAAGGGGAGGAAAAGGCTTGTAAGCCACAGCCACAAAGATGTCTCTATGCATAATGAACGTATATTGTTTCAAATCTTCTGTCCCTAGGAAGAGGTGAATGGCCTAGGCAGGGACCCTGGTCACTGTGACCTCATCTTGTTCCTTCCAACCTTCCCCACAACTAATTAGAGTCTGGGGTCACTCAAATGCCCTTCTACAACAACCCCCTCCAAATGGCCATTGTTCTTTGATGAATGGGAACCAATTGCTACTGCCAATGTTTACTCTTCAGAGGGCAGTAACAGAAACCAGATTCTCCCCCCCCCATAAATTTGTAACTGAAAAGGGACAGTACAAAATGATTTAATCTGTGTCCCACCCCCATCCCAACCAAGTATTAGAATACCCCTGGAAATATCCTATTTCCCTCAGTTCATTTCCTGAAGTATGCTGAGAGTTATTTTATCATCATTATTATTAATATTATTATTATTATTGGTGTGTGTGTGTGTGTTTGCCTGCATGTATATAAATGTGTCATGTACATGCAAGGAGGCCAAAACAGAGTGTCAATTCTTTAGAACTGGAGCTGTGAGCCACCATGTGGGTACCAGGAACCAAACCTGGGCTTTCTATTAGGACAGCACTTTGAATCACTGTGTCAACCTTCTAGCCCCCAAAGTTACTTTTTAAAAAATGATTTATTTACTCTTATTTTATGTGCCTTGATGTTTCACCTGTATGAATGTCTGTGTGGGGTGTCAGAGTTTCAGACAGTTATAAGCCATGTGGGTGCTGGAACTTGAACCCAGGTCCTCTGGAAGTGTAGCCAGTGCTCTTAACCACTGTACAGGGGAAAGCCCAAGCACTCCATATAGATTTTATAGAGATGGGTCCTTACTAAGACTCATTAAGTCTAGTGATATAAACATTCTTGTTTTCAAGTTGGGGAAACAGAGGCACAGATCAGAGAAGCAATTCACCCAGGAATGCAGAGCTAGCTAGTAACTACACCCACTTTGAAACTCATTGAAATGCAGGTCTGACCAATATCAAGACCCAAGGAATTAACCAAAAGAGGAATTGTGGTAGTAATAATGACTGTCAATTTTTTAGACAGCTTTTCATTCTATGATTGTGTTTGTCTTAATCATTTCAAGTGAAAGTTTTCCATAAACAAATTGGAGGTTAAAAATATAAGGAAAACATCACAAATGATGGTAGGTGTGGCTTAAACTACAATCACCACGATAAAACACAAAACCAATCCAACCGGTTTTCTTCTCCTGGTAGGAAAAAAAGAAAAAGGAAAGGGTGTGTGTGTGTGTGTGTGTGTGTGTGTGTGTGTGTGTGTGTGTGTGTGTGCTACATTTGAAGGAAGAGTGACCAGAATAGTTTTTGGTTTAAGGCAATTTTATTTTTCTGGTCAACCAGAAACACTCTCTGCCCCAGGCTCAAGATGACTAATTCTGTAACATTTTTCCATACTGCTACCAGCTAATGTATCTACAGCCAGTTCAGAGAAGGCCAGAAAATCCTGGCCTTCAATCTTGGCTCAGCAAATGGAAGCAACAGCATAACTCAGCTAGCTGGTGATAATGGGACTGTGGGTATAGCCCAGTGGTAGAGTGCTTGGCCAAGCCCTGGGTTCAGTCCCCAGCAACACACACACACACACACCACGACAGCATGCCTTGTGTATATACACTGCTTATTATTCTAGAAAGTTCTTTGACTTCGTGGTGTCTTACTTGGCTCTGCAGTGACCCTGAGAGCAAATGGGCTATTTCATATCTCTTCTGATATAAAATGGGTAAGTAGGTGAAAACTTTGATGAAGGAATTATTCTATAACCCAAATATAAGGTTGACTTCCCTAACTGTCTCAAGAGCTAGAAAAGTCTGACAGATTCAATTCTAGAACAAATTGTTTCAAAATTCTGCCTGGCAAACCACCATAAGCCGTAAGGAGTGTCACAGATTGAGCAGGATAGCCAGAGGGTAGGAGGAGTGCTGGGAAATGCTGCTTTGGGAACTGACAAGGAAGTCACACAGGCCCTCACAGCAACTGGTCTCACCCATAGGAGGCCTACACAAGGCAAGTCACCCCAAACTCTGATCCAGATGGCTCAGATGATCCCCAGGCTCTGCTCTATACTGAAGAACTGTGTGCTATTGATAGCTGTGAGGGAGAAAGGAGCCTTTCTTCCTTCATTCCTTCCTTCCTTCCTCTCTCTGTTACGTTTTGTTTTGTTTTGTTTTGTTTTGAGACAGGGTTTCTCTGTGTAGCCCTGGCTAGTCTGGAACTCCCTCTGTAGATCAGGCTGGCATCGGACTCAGAGATCCACCTGCCTGTGTTTCCTGAGTCCTGGGATTAACGATATGAACCATCACTTATCAGATCTTTTTATATGGTGATGACACATTTTGGAAGTAAACAGAGGTGATGGTTACCATTCTATGAATGTGCTAAATATCCTTTGATAGTTACTTTTTAATTTTTATTTTATATATGTTGGTGTTTAGCCTACATGTATTTCTGTGTATTGTATGTGTACCTGCTGCCCGCAGAGACCAGATTAGGATATCAGATCCCTTGGAATTGGAGTTACAGATGGTCATGAGCCACCATGTGGGTGCTGGGAACTGGACTTAGGTCCTCTACAAGAGCAACCAGTGCTCTTAACCTGTAAACCAGCCCTCTAGCATCTGTGGTTAATTTTCTATATTATGTATTTTTAGTTAGTTAGTTAGTTAGTTAGTTAGTTAGTTAGTTAGTTTGGATTTTTGAAACAGGGTTTCTCTGTGTGTAGCCCCTGGCTGTCCTGGAATTCTGTCAACCAGGCTGGCCTCAAATTCAGAGATTCACCTGCCTCTGCCTCCTGAGTGCTGTGATTAAAGGTTTGTGCCACCACCGCCCAGCTATATTATGTATTTTGCCTCAGTAATAAACAAACAAATCAGTTCTTCAAGTGTATGAGAAAAACATCAACAGCCTAGAGGGAAAGTCAAAGAAGACTGTGATTGACAGTCCACAGAAAGAGAACTAACACTTCATTCATGAGCATTCTCTATCAGACATACATAGATTCAGCGGCTTTAACTGGGACAACATGACATTCTACCTTTCTCTAACTCTGAATCTAG